GCTAGGAAAGAATCGCACCAGCAAAAAGAGCGCGGAGCATACGATACCCTGGAGCAAATTCAAGGTGCAATTTTGACTTCGCTTTCAACGACCTGAATCTGAGGGTGTCGACGGGAGATCTGAAAATCATCTGGTTTGATCCTCAACGTTGGGGCTTATGGTGAGAGGAGGAATTGAAGGACGACGACCATTAGGTTGCCGGTTGTTGTTCAGAGACACGACATATGATTATGGCGACCGAGGTGTGTAATGATGGACGCAGAAGCTGTGAGGAGTGGGGTATTTCTTCTTTTTTTTCTTGTTTATAATTTTTCTGGAATTTTTAAATTTGGAAAAAAAATATTTAATTGTGAAAGTTCAAATAAAAAAATAATACACATCACACACCCATATGATATGTCACTTAGGTGGATGATAACATATGTCATGTCATTAAGACTCAAACATCTTTTGACTTCTATTAAGTTTAATTGTTAAGTTTACAATTTAACGGTCAACAAAAATTCACATAAAACAAATGACACAGAATTATAATAGATTGAAATATTAATATATTTATTGAAGTTTTTTTTAGGGCTAATACCACTGGAAATACCATCCTTTAGCGAAAGTGCTATTTATATTACGTACTTTAAATAAACACAAAAACATTCCAACGTATTAGGAGTTTGCGTCATTTGTGTTATGCGAATTCCTGTTAACCGTTATAATTGACGGTTGACCTAACGGTTAACAGGAATTCGCATAACACAAATGACGCAAACTCCTAATACGTTGGAATGTTTTTGTGTTTATTTAAAGTACGTAATATAAATAGCACTTTCGCTAAAGGGGTTGACCTAACGGTGGTCAACTTAGGTGTTGTCCACATATGTGCCACGTAGGAAATTAATATTTAAAAAAATATTATTTTTTTCAGAAGCAAATAATTAATATTATTAATTTATTTTTAAATAAATGTTTTCTAAGAATGACCTCTGCCCTCCTTCGCAACCCTTACAGCCACGATTCGGTCTTTCTCTTGCCGCTGATGCCATCATGCCCCATCTGCTTCTTCGGACGATCCCAACTCCTTGATTTACCTTATCGGTTCATACCCTCCTTCCTCCGCCTCCCTTCCTCTGCAACCACCGCCAAAGTTCCATAATTATTATGCAAAAGGAAGTGAAGACGTCATTGGCCTGAAGCGACGACAGTGGAGGCATCGAAGGTTCGGATCTGGGTTGCTGCTTCTTCTTTCTTTCTCCGCCGCCTGCTCATCTGAACTGCTTCTGGAAATCAATTTCCAGATCCAGTCATGCCCACTAAGCCACACGGGCAGGCTATGCCACAATTCCACCCGCATCGAATCCTTGATCCCCTGTTCTCCAAGGCGGTGAGGAAGACGAACGATTGCAGTTTTGGAGAGGGTGGCGGTTCGTCTCCTTGTTCTTCAGTCGGTGTGAATTGATTGTCTAAGGAGATACGGCGGTGGCGACCGTTTGTTCTATTCTTCTCTGGTTAGGGTGCACGACGATCGTTTCAGGGGAAGTGACGGCTGTTCAAAGGAAAATGATGGCGATGACGATATTGAGGAGGAGAAGGTCAACCCACTTTCTAGTGACGACGGCGACTACAACGCCTCTGCTATTGCCATTTAATCTGTCCCCACGACGTTATTTCTTCTTCCTCTCTTCCTATCTGCGATCGGCGGCGGCGGATTGGAAACACCTGTAGCCAATAGGGACTGAATTTTTTTCAATTTTTGTTTCTATTTCTTGTTTGTCAGCAAATTGTCACGAGAAGAGAGAGAGCTTGTTTCTATTTCTTTTTTGACAGATGGCGAGACAATTGGGAGTGAGGAAATGATGATGGTGGTGGTGGCGGCAGAAGGTGTGGGGAAGTTGGGGGAGATGGAAGAAGGGACTTTGACGGAGGGGAGAGATCGAGAGAGGTTGGGAAGATGGAAGAAATACATTTTTTATTTTCCTTTTTTTTCTTTTGATTTGTTTTTTTATAATTATTTTTTATTAAAATTTTACACATCAACTGCCATTTCATTGCTGATTATGTTTTCTGTTAACTACTAAGAGAAAACTTAACGGATGATATACAATTGTCATATCAAAAGTGACGTAATATAAATGACACTTTCGCTAAACGATGGTATTTCCAGTGGTATTAGCATTTTTTTATGGTTAATCAAATATTTATTGAATGTCTATATGATATTCTCAATTTGAGAACCCAATACAAAGTATCTACAATTATCTATACTAAACAGAGAGTCCTCTGTCTTACACTTGCAATCACTAACACTACTAATTACAAGACAATCACCAACTACAACCAATTACAAGGCAGTCAGCCTGCAGATTATGATTTCTCAAGCTCATAAACTCAAAAGTTCTTTTTACTTTCTGCACAAGAGTAAGGGGTCCGGATACTATAACAACAGCTCTTTGTTGTTATAGTAACAACAAGGGTAAAAGGGTCCATTAACAAATATCTAACCAATTAAATAACAAATATTTCCATCTCCGTATCTCTTCCCTCTCTGCAGCTTCTCCTCCACCGCCTGGAACGCCGCGAACAGCAGACGGTTCGCCTGGTCGACCCTCCCCGTGGCCTGCTCGTGATCCCCTGCGGCGGCGACGAAGGCGCTGCTAACGTTGGAGGCCTCTCGCTGTGCGAACCCGAAAAAGGAGAGCGACGGCGGGAGGAAAGAGAACGACGACGCGCGGCGGCTAGGAGGAACGAGAACGGCCGCAATCGCCGACTATGGCTCCGACAGCCACGCATCCTAGGTCCTCAACGACTGGCTCTCCACCTTCCGGATCTGGATTTCAGATCTGCAAAACATCTTGTCTTCCCTTTTTCCAGGACAAGCAATTAGGCTAAGAAGTATTATCCCACCCCGCACAACATCAAGTCTTCGGATTCCGGTAGTTCGCCTGCTTCAACTTTGTGAACGGCGATGATGCGGACAAGGAGGCTCTGTTTCTAAGTTGAGCTATTGTGCCGGAGAGAAGCGGACGAAGAGAGTTGCGGTGGAGGACGTGGCGGGGGAAGTGTAATCGATTTATTGTTTCATTCGTTGTGTGGCTCTGATTCCGTTGATAGTCATTCGCCCGATGAAGATGCCCCTCCGCCGCTGTCCCACGAGATTCCTCTTCTTCTTATGTAATTGATTTATTGTTCCGCTGATTTTTCTAGGTTATGGGTTCAATATCTTCTCGTGTCAGGTTTTTGATTTATGGGATTGGAATTTCTTCTTACAGATGTAGAACCAGGGAGGAGGTTGACTGCTCCAATGTTGACTATTATGATCTGATGAAGGTAGTCACAAATGCAACTTCTTTTCGAGATGCTGCTTTCAGATCATTATGATGATGACCCGATAAGTGAATAATAATATCATAAAAAGCACACCAAAAACCTTATAATGCAAATCACAAATATTGGGAAACAAACCACAAAAACAAACCAGAAACGTCATAATGCTGACCAAAAATATATTAAAACAAACCAGAAACCTCACAAAACAAACCATAAAATTTTCAAAAACACACCAGAAACCTCAAAATGCAAACCACAAACACGAAGACCGTTGACCGGTCAACGAAGACCGTTGACCAAACTCCGATGACCGTCGGTGAGTAGATTCCGGCGCCGATAGGCATATTCCGGTCCCGATGACTAGATTCCGACGCCGGTGAGCATATTCCGACAACGGTGAGCATATTCCGACGACGGTGGCATATTCCGATGGCAAAATAGCATATTCCGGCGACAAAAAAGCATATTCCGGTGACCGTCGACCAGATTCCGGCGACCGGTGGCCGAATTCCGGCGACCAAATTTTTTGTCCGAAAATTAAAAAAATATTTTTTAAATTTTTTAATTTTTTAATTTTTTAATTTTTTTTATTATTATTTAAACATATTTTCATAATGACAATTATACCCCTGCTTTGATTTTACACTAGGTCAACTCATCTAATAAAAAGTCATCACAATCCTAGCTTCCTATTGGTTGGAGACTAGTGTTGTTACAATAACAACACAAGGGGTGTTGTTATACTATCTAGTCCCAATAATAGTCTCCAACTTTTGGCAAGCTACTTACCTTTCAAATTCATACATTTCATCAATACATCAAATTACAATACACAAATTGATTAAATACATCAATTTGAAGAATCCCAATCTCCAAACAACCCCATAACCTCTTATTCCCTAACCAGTGCCATACAAAACACAACTGTCAAGGCACACTGTACTGTCCCCATATCAAATTATACCAAAGAACTTTAGGTGTTGGAGTTCTCAATTCATTCCAAACCGTCTTCACAGAGAACTTCTACATATGCTTTTCATTCAAAACACTAGTTTACTCCAGCAGATAAACAAGTGCCCCACCTTATCTCCGGTCTTCAATAGCTTCTTCCATTTACGTGAACAACTGCTGCTAGTAATTCAGAGCTCTCAAAAGGATAAACTTTAATCATGTAGCTGTATTTCTTGAAGCTACGGAATATAAGAGCAATTCTACTATGCTATATAGTATTGATGCTTTAATGTACAACTTGAAGTTGTACCATAATATTAAATGTACAAGTTTAGGTTGTACCATAAAGGAATTTATATCTTTATGTTATGGTACAACTTTACAACTTGAAGTTGTACTGTCACATAAGGTACAAGTTTAAGTTGTTCCATAAAAAAATTTGTACAAAAAGTATAGGTACAATCTGAAGTTGTACCATAACATTAAAGGTACAATTTCAAGTTGTACCATAAAGGTAAAAACTTATAGCACCAATGCTATATAGCATTGTAAAATTCCTCCGGAATATAAATGACACATTCATATTAGTTGTATATATTAGTCCAATAATAATAATAATAATAATAATATATATTAGTCCAATAATAATAATAATAATAATATTATTATTATTATTATTATTATTATTATGTGATTTAAGCGAATGAGAAGAGTCGAGAGCAAAAGGCAGAAACGAACGGTGTTGATAAGAATCGTTCTCGCATCCCAGTCGTCTCCTTGCCCCTCTCTTCTCCAGCGTCCGATCCCTTCTCTTTCCTCCTTCCTTCCATCTCCTTCTCTCGCGCCCTTTCCATACAAACAGCCTCTCAACAACAAGGTAAGGTACTCTCAGTCTCACTCGCCCAGCGAAGCGAAGCGATCTCACTATTATTTCAATTTCCCACACTTTTCTAACTCTCCCCTCTTTGCACTTCGCTGTGCTGATGATGATTATCTGTGATTCCTGTTTTCAGCTAGGGTTTAGATGTCGTCGGCCGACGGACTCCAGCCGGGGAGCCCCGGCGGCGGAGGCAGCCACGACAGCGGAGATCAAAGCCCGCGCTCCTCCAACGTTCGCGAGCAGGACAGGTTTCTACCCATCGCCAACATCGGCCGGATTATGAAGAAGGCGCTCCCAGCTAACGGCAAGATCGCAAAGGATGCCAAGGAGACTGTTCAGGAATGCGTCTCCGAGTTCATCAGTTTCGTCACCAGCGAGTAAGGACTGCATTACATTTTTTTTTTGTCCGTATTTCCGCAGACAATTGGGAATTTTTCTGGTGCGGATAATTTACCTTTTGTGTGATTTGTTTCATAAATTGATGCGTAGGGCCAGTGATAAGTGCCAGAGAGAGAAGAGGAAGACCATTAATGGCGATGATTTGCTGTGGGCGATGGCGACGTTAGGGTTTGAGGATTATATCGAGCCGCTTAAGGTTTACTTGAGCAGATACAGAGAGGTGAGATTCCTGGCTTTTTCGTTTTTGCTCGTTTTGTTACTTTCATTAATACTTTACTAATGCAAACGTATTGTTTTGGTTTTGTTTTTTGGGTGGATGATGCAGATGGAGGTACGATCAGATGCTTGTTGCGTATATGTTGTCCTTTCTTCTCTCGTTGTATCTCAAACTCTATTTTCGAGCACGGTTTATGTAGTTTGAACTCATGGAAAAGTTGTTGGGTTTAAACAGGGTGATACCAAAGGCTCAGGCAAGGGTGGAGATACATCTGCTAGAAAAGATGTCCAGCCCAGTCCAAATGCCCAGGTGAAGTGGAGCTCTGTATTATGTCCCTTGTTTCTTTGTCTCCATTTCTGAGAGGTTGTGGATTGTAACCCATCACTCCCATAATCTCATTCGGGGAATTTGGGGAAATGGCCATTGCAGATTTCTCATCAAGCCACTTTCTCACAAGGTGTTAGTTACTCAAACCCTCAGGTATGCACCATTCTCAGCTTTCAAACTCACCATGAGGTGCCGACTTGTTACTGTTTGCACATCCTTGTCAGTGAGCTTGGCTTGGTGTGCTTTGTACTTCTTGTCCAGTTGCTTGATGGCAGATATTGTTTATGAGCTTAAGCCTTCTGTATTGTCAGGATTTCAGTAACTACGGGATGGGTGATATTCAGCTTAATCACCGATAAACGAAAAGATGAGTTGTACGTATTCGATATGTGAACCATCATACTTTTACTTATTTATCACCGATTATGTGCATTGTGAGAGCGGCAATCTTTCATCTTCGAAAAGACCCATGTAGAATGGCTCTGAATTTTTTTTAGATGCAACGGTTTGGAAGATCCATTGCTGGAGTAGGCCTAATGATATCCTACTTATACTGATTGTCCCCCTCAGACAAACAATGGTGATTGGTCATTATGATTAGGAGGTCTGCCTGCATTTTAGGGTACCCGGATTTAGACCTGCTGGCTGTAGCACCAACGCAGTTAGGGTACCGGACATGAGATAGACAAAGTGTTCAATTACTAGGGGATCAGTATTTTTTTTTTTTCGTGGAGGAAAAGATTCATCCTATAATCTGCACAGTACCATTATTACAAGGAGTACCGCAATTGTGACATGAAAAAGGTGGCAGTCAGTTTCTCTGCTTGTGTGCATTCCTTGGAGGTCAGTGGACAATACCTTTCCTCCTGTAGTCTACTAGTGGTAGCATTATTGCGCTCCAAGGGTGCCCAAATCTATCTGACTGAGTAGCAATGACTACTCAACTGCACTTTAGCTTTAGCCCTCCTCATAGCTAAGAAGTAAAAATTACACTAGCTCCGTGTGTTCTGTTAGGATCTTTAGATTACCATTAAAGCAATAACCCTCCATCACCATTGCATCTGTTTCTGGATTGTGATCGGTCCCATTATACTTGCCCCTCACTCAAAGTTTTCTTCTCGAGCCCCTGGATGAGCTACCAAATGTTGTATGTTGAAACAAATTAATGGCTTAGTAGGTACATGCTCTGACTTGAGAAAAGTTGGGACGCAAGATTGTCGCATCCCAGACTGGACTGCTATTAAGCCTTGGAGGAACGTAAGTCAAGGCTTCTTTGTCGTGAAGAGCAATACCCTAGAACACCAGAACATGCAAGTTAAAAGTCCTTTAAGTTAGTTCTCCCTGTGAGCTATGGTATCCTTCTTGGGTGATTGCCAGGCCTAGTTTAACTGTCCTGTTTTGAATGTTTATCTTCTGCTACCTTTTAAAATGATCAACGAGTTGTGTATACCGTGTTAACCTATGTTATTGTTTTGGTTTTCTTGGGGGGTATATCGACATTCTGTCCAATTACTGGAATTCTGAAAGTGTTTGCAATTGCAGGGCCAGCATGTGATGGTTAAAATGCAAGGCAGCGAGTAGATGATCACTTATCCTTAACCAATGCCATCATCAGCTAGCACACCATTCATGACTTCCTTTATCCACTGAAAACATTCGGATTTGAGTGGGGACACTGATATTTATGTTGGTCCTTTTAGTTCTCCGTCCGTGTTATTTCTGGGTTGGACATGTTTCGTTAGAGTGAGTGGATGATGATAGATCGACTCGAGAAGTACTGTAAAGATCTAGATCTCCCTTTTTATTTTGTTTGCTTCCCTATCCTGTTCTTAAGAATTTTGTTACGTTGGTGTAACAATCAGTTGTGTATGATCAGGGATGCACCAAATGGATGCGACAATTCTGTCATTCTATGATTAATAAGTGTGTCCTAGTTGATTGTGGTCTCCCCGTTCACCTAAATTAGCTTGCTCTATACAGCAGTTTACTGGATCGTCATCCTTATGACCCAAGAAAGAAGTTTTAGAAGTTATCTCGTCTTCGATTACATAAGCTTCTTTCTTGTCAATATGTGTTTTGATTGGGTGTTTGCCACTAGTGATCTTGCCTCGTATTCGTGAATTTGGATGCTCATTTGTATTTTGATTATGCTCCTATTGACACGATGTTTGAGCTTTTCTCGTTTATTGTGGTAATTACTTGTATACAATGACTAGCATAGAGTCTGGGGCGTTGGCCGGGTTGCTCAAACGGCCCAATTATTTCATTTCTTTTTTTATTGTAAACTGATGGTATAAACATCTTATAATACATTTTAAAGACTTTGATTTGCTCCATAACTATCTATCAATTATTAAATATGCGAGATTATTAAATTATAATGCTATGATTTTAGACGTGTTGTTGCGAGGGAGATGGTTGAGCATACATGACTCTATGGTTTTCATCGTATCTGAGGTTATGTTAATTTTTTTGATTTTTTGAGGCTTCTTTTCATTCTTCTTTGGCACCTATGGTTGTGATCAGAGTTATATAGCTCCCAAAAGGAATTTGGATTTTAGGTCATTTGGAAATACAACACACATGATCTTCGAGTTTGGACGAACTCTTGACCAATGTTGTAAAGATTAGGACTTTTTAGTGGGGAATTCTTAGTAAAAATACTTCATTTTTGGATCACCACAGCCCTCGTGATGATTAAATTCTTTAATCTCGATTCATTTCCATTTTGGATATTATTTTCTTATGAAGTTAAATTCAGTATATTATAGGGCTAATTTTGAATGTTATTCTTTAATCTAGTCAGCTTCTATGTGGTGTGTGCCATATTTGTCATAATTGAATAGTTTAGGACATAAATATCACAAAACTCGTATAGTTTGTGCCATATTTGTCATATTGAATAGTTTAGGACACAAATGACACTTTTTGGATAGTTTGAGCTTCCTAGTGGAATTAGCCCTATATTATACAAATGTATAAATTGTTAATTTTTGAAGTTTAGACGAAACCTCAACCCGTGGTCATTGTTTATATGTTGGCTTAGAATCTCAATCTAAGACACTCACACACACTATCAAGAATTTTGGTCTTAACATGGTCGTTGAATTTGTAATTTTCAAAAAATTTATCACTTATATATTAATAATTGATAAAGAGTGTCTACAATACACACATATTTCAAGTGCATTTAAAATGTCTTATCATTTGAACAATATCAGTGGATTTCATTTGATTATTTGCATTAATTTATTATCTTATACAACATATATCAATTGGTGTTTCTCGAGTTTGGTCGAACTGGCAACCAATTTTGAGAGTTGAGATTATTGGATAAAGATACTTGATTGCTGGATAAATATGTTTATCCCAATTGACTATCTTACTAAAAATTTCCAACCTTTATTTGGTAAATGCCTAGGTTAGTAGTAGTAGTTGATGAAACGTGATGTTTATCGTAGATTCTTAACAAAGATTCTCTAACCTTCACATATGTCATTTTTCAAGGAATCTTGTGTCTCATCCTAGTGTATGAAGTCAAAGTTCGTTAACAATCATACTTAAGTCATTTAAAAATTTTTGATTTATAATCGTCGATGATAACTCCAAGCCTGAAAGAAAATTTCTTAGAATACAACTTAGGACATCAATAAAGCTTGCTTAATCAACATGATATAGATCAAATATTATTATGTGAACTTAGAACACATTATAAAATTATTGCACATGCGATTCCTCTTCATTTGAAGAGGCTAAAGTAGAACATGATCCGAATGAATGAGAAGTCTTTTTTAAATAAATAATTGTAACTTCTCGATCAAGATTATACTCTGACATTTCTATAAATAATACTTGTTTTATTTTATAGACATATACTTTACGAATAGGAGAGTGTTTCATTGCAACAAAATATAAAGTAATATAATTTATTTTTCAAAGGTAATTGAACGTCAAATGTTTATTTTCTCTCTTTTTATATATATATTTTGTTTAATCAATAAAAACATTGTTGTTTATGTGTATGTTTGTTTAATTTTTTCATCAAAATATAACTTATCATTTAATTTTAGTAAAAATGAGTAGAAAATTTACTTCATAAGGTTTTAATCATATATTTTTTATTTAAACAAATGTGGTATATGTCACTCTCTATTTTCTTATTTATATTTTGTTTACTGGACAAAAAATTATTATTTATGTGTGTTGGTTAAGTTATCAACATGTATAAATTTAAAAAATAATTGGATAAAAGAAATGGAAATATTAAAGAAGTGAGAGGTATAAATACATTAATAACTAATTTTTTTGTTTGTAAAAAAGTTGTCCAACTTGGCAAATTGTGGATCCTCCAAGTGCTTATGTGGCAAGAGATTGATTTTGAATTGCCATAATATATAGTATAGATAGATAGATATAGATAGATATAGATTTTAAAGACTTTGATTTGCTCCATTTCAAATTTCCTGCAACGAGAGTGAAAGTAGGAAGGGTATATTCGTCTACACAATCAATTTTTTATTTCATATAAAAATATATCAATGCTAGGATTTGAACCACGATCTCTTTAATCAAAGACAAGAATTGTAACTAATTAGACTAAACACATTTGTTGTACTTTATTAATACAAAACATAGAGGAAGTTAAAATTATGAAAAACAGAGTACTTTTCTATCACGGTTAGTTAGCCCGCTAAGTCTACTGTAAGTATTTTGTGGTGTTTGATAATTCTATTTTCATATTTTAATAATTAATTTAGAATTTTTTCTAACTTATAAATGAAGGATAATCTTAAAATCTCAACACAAATATCATTGGTTGGAATATTGTGAATTGAATTGAAGTGTTGAATGAAGTGTTCAATGACGACATAATAACATTGGTACCATACATTTCAAGAAAAATAAACATGACAAACACCGATACCAATTATCTCGACACTCTATGCTAAAATTTGAATTTGTTTAATAACTCAATTTGAGTGATAGTTTAGTCAAAGCAAGCAAATAATTCACGATTGTGTATGAACAAAAATAAAAACATATGTATTGTATTATGAAAAATGTATTTATTTTAACAATCTAAAAAAACAATCAAGACTTCCATATACAACCCCTTATTTCAGCATTGTAATTAATGAAATAATTTTTATCAACATAATGCAATGTTCAAGCTAAGGTCCAATTATTAATCACCCGTATATAGTATTCAGCTTAGTAAACTATTTCAATATCCACAGCTAACTATTAATGATTACTTGCTTTCTGTTTGAGGGTTTAATGTAACACTCTCATGCCTACACTTCGATCATTTTTTTCTTTTTTCTAATATTTTTTGCAGTTATTTGTTAAATCAACTATGTTACTAGCTTTCCATTCCTAATTATTCACTGCTTCCTACCATCTTATGGGAATGATGAATATTTTTTTCATGTATAATCTATTGACTATGAATGTTGCTGATTATTTAAATTCAACGGTATCCAGTTTAGGTTTGATGTCTCCAACATATTCTCACAATCTCTCGAAAAAGCATCATATCTTGCGATTGATATCATAGTTTTGTTAGGTAAATTTCAACAAACTCAATCAATATTCGAATCTTTGAAGTAGCTATCTACATGTGAATATGAAGTACTGAGTAGCTAAAACTCTACTTGAGTTAGTACGATCTTTTGCGCTATCAATTAAAATTCAATACATGATTATCTTATTGTAATTTAGTCATACTAATTGTGCAGTAGGGGACATCTTATCAAAACCGTATCGAAAGAATCCTTGATTGATCAGTTTCAGGATGTAATCAATTATACCAAATAGAAGTGATAAAATTTATAAGATGCTCTCAAAGTTTGCTATAATTATTGAGGTTCAACAACACGTTAATCGTAAAGTGGTCATTGGGCATTTGTCTATCTCCTAGCTCGCCTAGACACGCTTAGACGTTGTAATAAAAATAGTAATTTTTAATAATGATGAATGAAGTAACAGTTCTAAAGCACTTTCATACTTCAGTTCAAATGATTTAACAACAAGCAAAATAACTCTCAAGTTTATAATTTTTTAATACCAAATGGTATAATTAATTCATTTATGAGCTGAAATAGCTAATTATAAGCACTTAAATTTTTAAGTTAAAACTCAATTGATACAATTGTTTGACGAAATGGTTTTTATCATAGAGTGGTTCTATCAAGAGAGGTCTCTAAGAAACATGGCTTACTTTATTATTCCTTAGGTAGATATAATATATATCTTCATCGTTACTTTTACATTGGATTCAGTTTAGTATACTTTTTCGTTTGGATAGATTTTTAATGATTTTTTTGGGATATAATATATCATTATTGTATGATGGTGTAAGATATTTGTTCCTCTCATTTTAGGTTCAAATTGATGCATTTTCCCTTTGTCGTTCCCTTTTATCAGTTAATAATTTTTATGATATTTTTCACTATGAAATATCGTGAGCAGAATCTATACACAACAATTTGTATTTTTTTTTCGCTTCCTCTTCTCTTGATTCGATATTGTGTCCATATTGATTCTTATATTGATTATTGAATTAATACTTTTTTGTTCTGAAGTTTATGAAACTAAGATGCATTTTTTGAGAAACATGAAACTAAGATGCATATTGATAAAGAATGTAAAGTGTCATCTTCCCTCTTAAGGCTTAAGCACTACATATCATTGTTTACCTACTGTTAAATCAAAGTCTTTCTAACTTGAGTACGAGCTACAATGACTTTATTGTTATCGATTTTCCCCAAAATATTAGGTATGTTGTTTTTAGTTTTCGCATTCTTTTCAGTTTGATTTAGCTTTTTAAGTGTTGCTCTTTTAGTTGAACTTGCCAGTTGGAGATCTGCATGCTTCGACTACATTAATGTCACAGTGACTTCTATATGAAATGCCACTCGAAACATGAGTGTGTGATTTAGTTTGTTTCTTATTAAGGACACTCTAAACATATACTTTGTTCCATTATAT